TCACTCTTCTCTCGCGAGTCCCGTCTCTTTCTCTCTGTCCCACATGACTGATTTACGAGCACCCGCCGAAACTACACACCGTTGAAGCTGTGGAAACTTACGAAAAGTTTTTCATCGTTGTCCGAAAAACTTTTACCTCGAAATTTCGCGTATATTAGTTTCCAACAGTAAGCTCGGCTTCTCGATGCAATCTAGACCACGCGAGGACGCGGTTTAATAAAGAATAAGGAATAATGAAACGCATAAAGTCTCTTATAAACGAAAGTATCTTACATTTTTCTAAATACGTGAAACTTATCCACCGCTGGAGCCGACGATGTAACGTCTCCACTATGACATCGATTTTTCTACCTGAACGAACCTCGGTCTCGTGTTTTCAACCTGTCTCACGAGAAGACTCGCAAGGTCGCCGCTACGGAAAGCGGGTGGATCAAAGGGAACCGCAAACCAGTCTAGCCGCGGCTTCGCGGCTGATTAAACTCAAGCGCGGCCACGAACGAGAGACAGAGATGATGGTGGTAGTAGTGGTGTGACGATGGTGCGCAGGCTGTTCGGCGAGACGGCGGGACAAACTGGATGGAAAGATGCGCGCAACCCTCTCTCGTGCGTGTGCATGAGTCGGCCCGCGGAAAGATGGCGTCTACCGCACCGAAATGGCCGCGGTAACGTGTCTGATAAAACATAAGGCACGACAACCGTACCTGCTGAAAAGGACCGTCGAGTAGGTCCTACAGAGAGAAAGAGAGAGAGAGAGAGAGAGAGAGAGAGAGAGAACAGGATGGAAAGTTAGTAGATATCATCCCTAGTTACGACTGGTGACGAGGGGCGGAGTCATGCCGACCGCACACCTGCCCCGAGGTGGACTGCCCTTGGTCACCCCCGGTTTCCACCCTCTTCGTAGGCCACATCTTGATGGACGCGTTTACGGTAACCGGTCGACGGAAAAAGGACGAAAGAAATGGCCGGCTTTTAATGGTCGACTCGAGAGCCCGTTGCGAAAGCATAATCTGGACCTCAAAGTTTCGTCCTGGAAGAGCACCTGGAAACCGGTTGCTTTATCTACGAGAAATATATATTCACGATAGCGAGGGATTCATCCTGTTCTGAGGTTGTCAGCCGCGATGCGCGGTCGTCCGGTTTGATGGATAAGTCGCGCGGAGAGATCGAAAATAGTAGTAGCCTTCGTGCTGTAACACAGTCGACCCGGGGATATGCAAATTGTCTTACACGAATTTGTAATTGAAACACAAGTGATTATACGACGACATTTCATACATTTGGAGAACGTCGCCAACAATAATCGATACGTATGTTAATTTGAGCGCGCTCACATCAGAAAGAGAGAGAGAAAGAGAGAGAGACGAAAATTAGAATCATTTAGCAGAAGAGTTTATGTTGACGGAGTTAATGCAGTTTACGCCAGTAAAAATGTGTTGTGCGCGTATCGACGATAATACTTTTACGACTTGCATTAATCAGATTGCCTCACGGTATTAATTCACACAGCATATCGTACACACGTTGCGTTAGCATGCTTGAAACATTGTACGACGGGCATTTAATGATAATATATACGCGTCGTTATGCGTTTGTATTCAAATTTGCTTTACATTTGCCCGATCAATACGCCCGTATATTTTTTAAAGCCGTTGACCAGCAGTAAGCTCGTTGAATAACTTTCAAAGATGATAATCTGCTAATTGATAATCTTGCTGATTCACGCACTTATTCATAAGTATTATGTATCTTGACATTCTTTTGCTTCCAGAAATTAATTAACGAGTATTATTATGATATATGAAAACAATTATTCTCTTCTTAGTTTTTCCTCGTTAATGTCTATAATTAACATTTTGTGTAAGGAATAAAAACATTATACACGTGTATTATAGAGGAATGAATAAAGAAAAAGTTGCATTTCATCTATATCGGGAATGCCTTCGGGATATGTTACGCGAAATGATTGGAAGTAACATTGTCAAAGGTACATCGCGATAAAGATTTTCCTTCGAGGTGTATTAAAAACAGAGATGTTTATAAGATGCTTACAATAAAACTTTGATTCGCAGTCTACGAATGGAATGTGAATACATGGGAGCGAAATGATCCGGTCATTAAAAGTTGTGAAATATTGAGTCGATGGGATAATATTTTTTGCAAAAAAAAGAGCAAACGTTACAAAATGGAAACGGCGTAGGATAGAATACGAAGCGCGACCCGATTAGCAATCACCATGGTAACAAGCACTTGATGCTATCATCAGTTGGAGAGGACGGGAGGTAGGAGGAGAGAATTCGCTATGTCACGCGTAAGTGTATGTATCAATGTACACCTACATGCATTTGTATATGTATTAATATCTCAGACAAGTGCACACGGAGCGCTCGTCCATATATATATATATATATATATATATATCTGTCGTATTTAAAGCGGTGATGGCGATAGTGATGGTCGGTGGCGGTGATACCGAAGGTAGCGGCTGTGCGGGAGATAGATTGGGAGAATCGCAGTGGGCACGGGATGAGGATGGAGAAAGAGAGCGACGGAGAGAGTGGAATCGTGCGGGCCAAGAAAAGAGACGGAAAACACAGAATGCTCGGAACGTGGACGGAGAAAACAGAGAGATAGAGAGACGGCGGAGGTGGTAGGGAGGTGCAGAATCGGGAGAAAGCAGCAGCAGCGGAGCGGCAGCAGTTGCCGCTCTCGGGGCGGCTGGCTGTTATCATGAGAAACAAGCTTCCACTCTGATTTTTTAATCCGATCCGCGCCCCCTGCCACCGGCTGAATTTTAAAATAACTGCAGAACGCCATTTGCTCCTCGCAAACAGACCGGGGGGGTTAAGCCGTCCCCGCCGCCGCCGGCCTCCTCCTCCGGTGCTCTTGGCTCTTTTCTATCTTCTTCCTTCTCACTTTTCCTGCCTCCGGTTTCCATCGATGTCGGTCCATCTCGCGCGACCCTCCCTTCGCCTCCCTACGCCTCGTTCTGCTCTCGTCTGAATCTCTCTTTACCGCCGTTCTCTCTCTCTCTCTCTCTCTCTCTTTCTCTCTCTTGGCGTCTGCGACCCAGCATCGCGGCGAATAGGACGAGGAGCAGAGCAGAGATTAGGTCGGAGGACGAAGAGGAGACAAAGAGATGTGTATCAACGTTCGCGCGTGGCGTGGAAGCGCCTGATGCCAAATTGAAATGTTTAGCGCTTCGTTTCAGCTGTTTCAAATCCTGCGTGCGGGGCGCCCGGAATCGGAGCGAGACAAATAGAAGCGGGAAAAGCGGGACGGATAGATAGCGAGAAGAGGGAAAGAAGAGAGAGAGAGAGAGAGAGAGAGTAAAGAGAGGGTGGTAGCGAACGGGGACGGTTGTTGGCGGTAGAGGGTGAGAACGAAGATAGAGGAGCGAGAAATGCCGCGTGTAGGCCTGCCTCGGGGAGAAGGGTAGATAAGTGACAGTTTTATTAATTTCCCATCTCTCCCGCCGCCACACTTCCACCCCGCGTCCCTGTCTAACCTACCTATCCTACCTACCTACCTACCCGATGCCACGCAACACCAGGGACGTCAGTCGCGCGTCCATATACGTCCTTCCCTTCGCCCTCATTCTCCTCGTCGTCGGATATGACTCGGGGTGCGAGGGCGAAAATAAAACTCAATAATGGCGACGCGCCGTGACGGGGCCCAGAAGGCGGCGAAGGTGCCGGTTGGAGATTCGAATCAACGATATCTCGTCCTTCAGTTATCTGCTATTTTTATAAAAGAGATTTTTCTCATCCGAGTTTCTGTGGGCTTTAAAATATTTTATGCTGTCGATGTTTCAAAAGCAGTCGATTAATTTATTGCTTGCAATATTTTTGCATATATTATAATTCTTAATGAGAAGTATCACATCAGTTTTATCGATCTCATTTACGTTTGCGATAAAATTCAGCGACGTCTGCAATCATGGTTGATGCATGCCATTAAGAAAACTGTTTCGATTAAATCCACGATTTCATCGATAAATCTCCCTGGATATCCGGAGCTTTGAATCGAGTCGCGACATCTCGCCCGGATTGTACACGCGAAGAGAAGGACCGGAGAAAAGAATAAAAAAACAAAACTCCACGAAGAGAAGAGGGACATGGAGAATGGAAAGAAGAGAAGAGAGGTATCCTAGCCGGTCGCCTCGGTGGTGGAAAATTTAATTTCGATCCCGTCGATTCAGCAGTTATACCGAAGTTTAATCTTTGATAAGGGTTAGTCTTTTAGTAATGGGATCCCAGAGGGTCGGTCGCTCTCCGGTCCGACGGAGCGAGGCGGAAGGCAAAGAGGAGGCCGCCTGCCTCCTCTTCTTCTTTCCTTACACCTCCTCCCTCTCCCTCTCGTCTACTCTCCTCCCGCTCCATTCCTCTGGCCAAGAGATGGAAGGAAGGAGCTTAAACCGTTAGATAGAGATCTGCTCTCGGGGTGGAAGTAGCTACCTACCCGTTTATATCGCTCCTCAAACCGAGCAGGACTCGGACTTTTATATTTGACGTTGGGGAAGACATAACGAGCCTCACGATGGGATAAGTTTTTCGACGCGAAGTTCTGCCAGCAGCCCTCTCCCCCTCTGGTTTTTTTTAAGGTGTCTCGTTTATTTTCGCTCCGGTATATAAAGTATTCGCGCCTATCTGGGTCATGCGTATGCTTCGGGCGACGAAGACGCGTCTTCGGCGTAGAATTTAATCTTCACACGACTGGTCTGTCAGTGGGGCACCGTTCCCTACCAGACCAGTTACGGGATAATAAATGATGGCCTGCAGCTCCGCATCTCTGCTCCGGTTGCAAGACATAAATTGTTATTGAGAGATGATTATTTACTCGCAATTTTGATTTCTATTTCTTCCTTAATTTTCATTTTTTCGCCTTAATATGTTGTTTTTGAAAATATTTTCGCCTTCTATGCAGGAGATACGAGAAAACGACTTGGTTATTGTGTCGGGGATTATTTTACGTATAATATTTCTTACTTGGATTTGTTATAGTTATGGCATGGATCTGAACGGCGCGAGGCGAAAAAACGCGACACGAGAAACGACAAGTACATTGAAGGCATGGCTAAACGAGCATAAGAAGAATCCATACCCTACGAAAGGCGAAAAAATCATGTTGGCTATTATTACGAAAATGACACTGACACAAGTGTCGACGTGGTTTGCGAATGCGCGAAGGCGCTTGAAAAAGGAAAATAAAATGACGTGGGAACCGAGGAACCGTGTCGAGGACGAAGATAACAATAACGAAGACGATGATAGCGGGAGGAAGGTGAGTCCTGCTTCTTCTTGAATAATACGATTTTTTTTCTATTGCATTGCTAATCAGTCATCTACATCGCGTTAATCACATCGATACTTTGAATATTATTATTTCTTTGAATATTATTATTTCCGAAGATCTTCGCTTAAAAATCGTTAAATAAATTCGAGCAAACTTGCAAGTTTAAAAGAGACTGAAGATTTCAAGAGTCGTATATTATCCCGAATCACGAAGTTCGATCATCTTCTTCTCGGTCCAGATTCGAAAGACTCGGGTACAGGTTCCAGCGAGGACGGAGAACGACCGGCGCATCGTATGGACCTTTTGCATGGCGGCAGCGGCGGCTCGGCTGGCGTTCAGGGTAGAGCCGAGAGCGAGTGGAGCGAATCGCGAGCGGATAGCGGCCCGGACAGTCCGGAGTGTCTGTACGACCAGAGGGAGCCAAGGCATCCACTGCAATTGCAGCATCCGGCGTATCTCGCGCCAAGTCACGGTCGGTTGTTGCGTCATCCATCGCCGGAGAGCACGTCGCCGGGTAGCCAGCACCATCATCTCCCGCCGAGCACCAGCGCGTCATCCACGGCCAGCGCGGTGACCACGAAGCCACGGATCTGGTCGCTGGCGGACATGGCGAGTAAGGACGGCGATCAGCAAAACTCGAACTCGGTTACGATGACTGGTCTCGCGTCACCTTACGGAGGAACGGGAGGCGGAGGTGGCGGCAATGGTGGTAACGGAGGGGGCAAGCTCGTCAGTCCTCTGGCCAGTCGATTGCCGCCTCATCATCCCCTGCACCCAGCGATACATCCGGGCACGCAATTCGTAAGACCGCATCCGGACTTCTACAGGAATCTATACAGCGCGTCTCATCTTGGCTCCGGCGACATATCCCTACTGGAGACATATTCGAGGACTCTGGGTGGACTGGGTGGCGTGATACCGCCTCCATCCACGGCGCCGAGCATACTGACGTCCACATCCTCGTCCATCTCCGCTGCCGGTAACATGAAGCCTTTCTCGATCAACGGGGCTAGCGGTGGCGGCAGCGCCGTCGCCGGTGGATCAGCCGTTTTACTAACCACCGCGACTTCCGGATTGTCACCGTCGTCGTCGTCAACGGCGTCGTCGGTCGGATCCGATCAGTCGCCCCATCCGGCGGCCGGTGGTCTTCCCGCGACTCAGGAACTCAAATCTCCCGGACGAGTGTGACTCAAAGATGCGACCGATCGTTGAAAAAAGACGTTTAACGCGCGCGCGCGCGCGCTGTGCATCGACAGGCGTTTCGTGTGGTGTGGCTGACAATAATCAGAGACTACAATCTTGTAATTAGTGTACAGTAAGACGAGAGATGATGAGATATACTGCCCCTCGACCCGCTTCTCGTTCCTAGTCTTTGTTTTCTTTTTCACTTTCGATATTGTCGCGAATATTTCTTTTTTTTTACCTCTCCCCTCCAGATCATCCAGTCTTGAATTTATTTTCTATACCTAATTGCTCCGAATAAAGACGGAAACTCGTAGTATATACCGATTATCCCATAGTGGCTCTAACCCGCGGTATAACCACAGCTAACGTCAACTCGACAGTACTATTATACATATAAAATGCTATAAATATATATAAAGATATAGGGTAATAATTCATATTATTATCGTATATCTTTAATAATTAATAATTAATAATTAATAATTAATATTATTTATGCGTTTGTAAATAGTAGGAAGAGGCCCAGTAGAGAGAAATCGTCCGGCCAGTGTATGTACTGTATGTAGAGTAGATACAATATTACTAGCATACCTGAGATCATAATTCATATTAATGACGATTATTATGATTATTATGATTATTATGATTATTATTATTGTTATTGCAATGTTTATAATATTATCGATTCACACGTCGACTCAGGTCGTCGAGCATGACGAGGTATGGATCGTTAGTCGCGGCGACAGATTGCGAGGGACGTGCGTAGGTTCTCGAAATATCCTCTCTCTTCTTGTATAAGTGTACCCTCTCTTATTTATTGCGCTGTAAAGATTATTGGCTCGTGATAATTTTTTTTGTCGCAGATAATCGCGATCGGAACCGACGCGCTTTCGTCGATTCGCTCGCAATCTACTGCGAACATACAATAAATAATTCCGTCGCGTCGTCCCGCCTATCGCCGTTGCGTAATAAAAAGAAACATTCTTCAAATTGTGTACGAAGGACACCAACGGCTTGCAACATATCATGTCATGTCGAGAGTGAACGATCGCCATCACCTTTTAGTCATTCGTGTCCAAAATTTCGCGCGAACTCGCTGATGCCGCACGGCACTGTGTCTCCTTTCGCAATAAACGAATCATTACGGAAAGCGAACGAGTTATTATTTCTCACCCAGCTACACCAGCATATCGCAATTTCAATTTCTCTTCCCTTTTTCACGAGGAATCGCTTCCTTTCGGAAATACCATAATCGTGAATCGTGCGCGATTCAGCAGAGACAATACGCGCACGTGGCGGAGGCTCTAATCGACGTAGGGGATCGTCCCTTCAGATCCAGCGAATGAATATGAAACGTTCTCATTCTCGGAACCGGGACGAGATGTACTTATAAAAATGCAAAGCGACCGACTTCTGGGTGGTTGCTGGACAAGCATGGTTATTAGTAAACATTTAAATCGACAATCGCTATAGCTATGCGGACAGCGGGGGGAACGTCGTCTCTCTACCTTCCTTCCTTCCTTCCTTCCTTTCTTTCTTTCTTTCTTTCTCTGCCTTTCTCCGACGTTCGCGGTTTGCGGTAGAGGAAACAAGAAATCAACTTGCGGGACCACCCGCTACGGCCTGGGCTTGCATCGAGTCCTGGATCCCGAGGAGGTCCACGCCGTCTTCATGAATCAACTCGTTTCTGAATCGGCATAAACCTTCAAAGGGTTGCTGAGGGGGGGCGTTCCCCCTGCTAGGTCCGTCAGAGTTATGCGGGCACCAATGTCCCTTTGCATTCTAAGCATCGGCCGGTGATCTGAAAGACACGGTGTCTTCGAAAGATCACTGGAAAGACTAGGAACGAAGAGAAATTGTTACAAATAATAGAGAAACGCCAATGACAAAGTGTTTTCAGGAATACGTTTGACGTTAAGTTGCGAACGTGAAAAATGAGTTATTTCTCCTGCAATGTTTTCTTCAGTTTTTATAATCTAGAACAAAAAAAAAAATAAACAAATCGAAACACGTAACTTTTAAAATTTAGCAGACAAGGAATTACTTGCATCAGTTGTATAACGGCACGTATTATTTCGATAATGAAAAATTTTACGCTTTGGAATCTGTTTGGAGTCATTCCATGACGCATCGCAAATGCTCTAAATAGCAATTCAATCGCGTGATATAAACTCGGTTTTATGTTACTATAAAGATATCGATGGATAAAAAAATGTTGCTTCGTAAGAGGCAATGTTAAAAAGATAAACACTGTAAGTTTCCGACGCAGATAAACCGAACTTATTGTTAGTACAGCGATCCAGTTTTGAAATGATCATGCTGAGGACGACAAGGCTATTGAATGATGTATATATCTCACAGAGAAAAAGAAAGAAAGAGAGGGAGAGAGAAACAATAAGTAGCTACTTTATTCCGTAAACGTGCACGGATGTTATATGGTCATTTTTAGTGTTATAAGTTTCCACCATGGTGTAATAACGACGAACTGACGACCTTCGTTTTCCCCTTAGCAGCAAGAGCTCTTAATGCCCAAGAAACACCGGGACATCGCCCATCACGGATACGTATTACAGCTACTAGATTTTATTTTGATTTTATCAATTTCCGCGGCAATTTATCGCCACTGTGTAAAACACAAAGTAAAGAGAGAAAGAGGAAAACGTATCAATATTCACGAGAGACCATAAGTAAAGTGTATAAAGTTCGCAATCGCGGTATAAATCAGCGGTTGTGCCTCGGCATGAGTAAGATCCGCGCATTCCTTTATATAGGCGCTCTTTCTCTTTTCCGCGTATAATTTCACGGGCAAAACTTTACGCGTTGAACTTTCTGCGCGCGACTCTTTTAACGTTGTCACGGTTAATAAAAATTAAGTAGTCTTACCGATGTGTATACACGCATATAGCGCGGAGATGCTGTATTCGGGCGGTCGCGAGATTCTTTTTTTATAGAATGATGAGAATTTTTCAACGGCTCCTGTTGCAGTGAACGCGTCTTATCCCGGGAAGAAAGACACCGCAAAAATGGAAGTAGCTCCATCGCGGTTACTCGAAGAGGAGGAATAGAAGACGATAAACTCGACTAAACTGCGCGATGCTTTATTGGCTTTTATCGAGTTTTAACGCAAGCACCAGATTCCTTTATGGAAACGCCGTTAATTTTACGACGTGGGCATATTTAGCCCAGCGGCTTCTCATAAAATCATACTTTGGTCGCGATAAAGTTGAAACATCGACGGGGACTGCTAAAGCAAAGTTGGCCTCGTAAATACGTCGCATGGGAGAGGGGGGAAGGAAAGAGAATAAGTAGCTTCAGGCGTGATGTAATATACGTATATTATTTTTAATAAATATCATTTTCATATTTTTTTATAATTAAATTTAATTAATTACGATAATAAATCACGATAAGTAAATTAAACTGCCTCGACGTGCAATGCTATTTTCACGTAGTGTTTTAGGATAATATTATTTATTTAAGTTTCCAGATAAATGAGCATTGATTAGTTTCGCGAAGATTTTTCAATAGTTAAGAAGAAAAGAAAGAGAGAATGATAATACTGATATGTAAATGAATATTCAATTAACTCTTCACGATCTATTTCAATTTGCGAGCAATCAGCTTTGTCAAAGAAACTCGCAATTTGATTCCGTATTTTAACGCTGAGATGAGAACGCGAAAATATGATTTTTTTTTTTCATCTACGCGCGATAATATGTGAAGCGAGTTTCACTCACCTAAACAATCTGTAAAACAGATATGTGGCAACGTTCTCTTTTTGTTTTTCTTTTTTGGCGCATCGCCACGCAAGTACGTCCCGCGTTGTCGAAAGGTAGCGTATCGGTGTAGGTGGTGAATAATGAATGGCAACGTCGAGAGACAACTTGCTGGACCAGCGTCGACGACGCTGGATCAGGTCGACCCGTTGTGTGTACGTACGACCGAGAGAGAGAGAGAGAGAGAGAGAGAGAGAGAGAGACAAGATGAGGGTAGGAGGTGGAAGGGGGAGGGGGGTTAGGAGACGCAGTTATACAGCACGAGTTCCGGGTGAAACGACATGAAAAATTAACGGGCCCCACGTTTTGACACTGCGTCAAACTTTCGTTGTACGAGAGTGATAGATTGTTCTACGGCCGCGGTAGATTATATATTCCGTACGATGCTGCGAGGGAGGAAGAGAGAAAAAGCTCGCGCGGCGCGGAGTGCGAGCGAAAGATGGTTTTGGATTCCTCCCGACTAACGACCGGCGGACAAATTCGAATTTTACGAGGGACACCTCAACGGTATGGTATTGTCAGGTCGAGTCCGCGAACGAGCGAGTCCGTCTCCCAGTTTGGTTGGGTAAGTAATTTTTTTTTTTTTTTTTTCCCACGCAGATTTATCACACGCCGTGTGTCAGCGGTGTACAAAGGTAATTTCGGTCAATGACGCAGATTGAAATGTACGACGATATTTCATCTTCAATATCCGCGGATGCGGCGTATGATAGTTGTAATTCAATCTCCACCGACTGACAAACATTAACATCCGCGCGCTTGAAATTTCACTCTTTCGATCGGAACGTATACGTTATGACGCATTCAAAGTGACAGATAGCTTCGCGAGTTGATCTTGGAGAGAAAAAAGATGTAAGTATCTCCAGCAAGAAGAGCCATAATTTTTCGTCCGCGGTAGAATTTCCCCTCGGTAGTTCGTAATCCTTTTCACTTTAACGCATATTCGCGCAATGTGTTGCAACGCGATGAGGGAGACGGGAACAAAGAGAAAGAGAGAGAGAGAGAGAGAAGACAAGATGCGCGTTGCGATATTTCATTCGGCGTACGATCCCGCGAATTCGCGTTCTCAAAGACTTCAAAGGGACCTCTGCGAAGTTACCGGATGTCCGGCTGCTTGCGACACCATACCCTCTTTGTGTACTCCGGCCTGCGGGAGGGGAGGGATCAGAGACGCCAAAGAGGAGAACGAAGATAGAAGTCTCTCCCCCTGCTCGGCGAGATGCTCGAATTCGTCCGCGGCTTGTCGGCTGGCAAGTACCACGTAACTCACCTACTAAATTCGTGGCTAAGTAACGGAGGTGCATAATTCACCGCTGGTTAATTGGCGAGCGTTTCACGCCAGCAGCCGGTCTGTCAAAGCGAGAGAGCGACGACGAGTCGCTGCTCCTCATCCGAAAGCAACGGAGTATGTGCGTATCATCGCCGACAGCGAGAAACGCGTGCTGCGAAATCCTCCGGCTCTCCCTCTTATCCTTTCTCTCTTTCGGTCGCGACGGTCGTCCCCTGCTTATAAATACTGCATCTCGCGCAAGGAAAGGAATAAAAGAACGAACCCGAGGAAATAGTAGAGAGCGAGAGAGAGAGAGAGAAAGAGAGAAGAGAATGGACCCGACGCAGGGTGCAGGAGGTAAAAAGAACTGCTTCTGGCAGTCGACAACTGAGAGACGGACGACGCCGGGTTCTGGAGGATGCCGCGGCGATATGACTTATTTAATCACCCGGGCTGAACGTTAATGTCCCTCTATGAGGCGTTCGCGCGAATGTTTCGGGGATTACGTCGCGTCGCCGTCGACGGGGCGTTGGCCGCGCGATTTACGAGAGTCGTAAGTTGAACGCGCGACGATACGAGATGACGGAGCGAGGCGCGAAATTGGAGCATAACGCGAAAATGTAGACGTTAGATCGTTACTAAGTGTTTCGTCGTCGCATCTCTCCGTCAAGAGACAAGGTATCGAAAATCGTGTTGACTTTTATGGATAATTTCGATAATTATTTATTTCCTTATTAAGGATCCGTAGAATATTCTTTTCAGCGTTATATGTCACATTTGGTGAAATTTTGCTCCTGTTTTCCATTTAAATTTTATCACGCTTATGAATCCTAAACAATTTTGACAGGTTTAATTTTTATTTTTATTGAGCTCTTTTACTTCGTACTTTAAATAGACAGTAAACGAACAAGTTCCTACTTAAAGATTTAAAAGAAGAGGAAAATTAGAGAGAGATATAAATAGATATAACATAGATTAAATAATATCAAAAGTAGATAACTTGATCATTTAAAATATCAAAGTAAATGTTAGATTGAAAATTGAAATCAAGAGAAAAAAATTTTGATTCAAGAATACGATATTATTCGGAAACTAAAAAATTAAGACTAACTCAATATATTTTATAATTTCACTCTTCCCGAGATATCGGATTAACACAACTACTTTTCCTCGAAAGAGAAGGGCAATCACCGACCCGTTTCCCCCCTTCCGACG